CAGGATCGAAAGGTTAAGTGCCTCACAATTAAAAGAACAATATAGCGTTAGGAACACAAACATGTGTACCTAACACTACAGTGTTAAAGGGCATTTTTTTAATAGGAAAGCACAGAGAGGCTAGTGCGTATGTGTGGCAAAATACTGCGCCAATCATATGGTCTCAGTGTGAAAACCACTACAGTCTTATTAACCCTGCAAAGAAACTATTACCATTCCTGCAAAACGGCAATGGTTTTATCTTCAGGGCTATGGCACCCAAACCATCATCTCATTGATATGTAGTGATCTGAGTGCCTATAGTCGTCATTGAACCTGAAATTACAACAGACGTTTAAATTCCATAGCAGAATTTGCAAATTGGGAAACAAAGTCAAATGTAGATGAAATGTCTGTAAAAAGACTGAGTTGATATGGCCATGCATCTATATTTTTATTGTATTGAGGTTTTATTTAAGAAACGCAATGATTTATTACATTCTGGTGCACTAGAATATTTTGGACTATATTGTAAATATTTTTTTTTCCTTATTGTCATCCTTGATCCATGTTGTGATCATTTTTATATAATTATATATAAAAGGGCCTTTATACATGAACAATGTGAGTAGCTTCACTGGTATCGAAGCAAGCAAAACAAAAGTTTTTTTTATTTTATTTATTAAAACAGTATATAATATTAGCAGTAGATCACAAAACAAAATATAATTCTCATTACGAAAGCAATAAGAAGTGAAGAGTGTAAAATCCCACATCTTTGTATTCCTAGAATGCTTCCTTATGATATCAATAACTTTCTCAACGCCTCCTTTTAACGCCAGCGAAAGCTTCTTCTGTTCTCATTAAAAATGAAAATGGAAAGAGGGGATCGTATTCTGGGGGGGTGCAGAGAGCTGGCAGGAAAACTTCCTCTCTTTGCAAGGTGATCCCACCCATGAATCTTTCATATGACTGTAATGAGAGGACAAGAGGAGGTCAGGATGCTAAGGAATCGCGGGCAGAATGGAGACACGTAGAAAGAAGCTAATGCTATCACCATTGTGCATGTAGATCAAGCCTTTTAGGGTTATTTACTAAAGTGAGAATTCAAAGTAAATTTCACATCTAATTCCAGAGAAGCCGAAATGAAAGTCTTGCTGAGAATTTTGCCAGTTTGGCTATTTTGACCTTAAATTTAAAATTCACTTTGAATTCTCACTTTAGTGAATAGGCCTGTGTCTGAATTGAAGGTATGAGTATAGAAGTGGTGGAGGAGTGGTCAAGCAAGAGCTGCCATATATAAATTGAGAGGTAATAGAAAATAGAGATAATGTCAAAGATTTGTAACAGATGGCTTCCAAAAAACATGAGCTTTTTTTTTTTTTTCTAGTGCAAACCACAAGGGCCAGTTCTGTGGTTTACAGACAAAACAAAAACCTGCAGTACAACATTGATGTCTGTGATTGATATATGTATTCTGAGATTACTGAGGTACGTACTTGACTTGTGTTGCGAAATTACAAAAAAAGAATAAATTAAAACCAAAAAGATAGAAGACCATTCTTACAGCAAGAGCTAGCAAAATGTAGATCCACAACTACTCAACATCTCTCCATACCTTTATGCCCTCATTTATTCCCCATCACATATCCTATCTTTCTATATTCCTTCCGTAAGACTGTCTCTCTATATTATTCTCCCCTACCTGGCTATCAATATCTCCCACCTGTCTCTCCATATTGTCCAACACACCTTTGAGTCCCCTCCCCCATCTCTCCATATCTTCAGCCGAATCTGTGATCTTTTTCCTTTCACTGGAGTATATTGTAGTCTTGCCATGCAGCATTGATAAGACTGTGTACCATCTTCACAGGGGCATCCTGTGTAGATAGAGAGGCAGGACATTTTATTTTTCAATCTGATCTTAAATATTTACAGAGATGGCAATGTATCCCTTCACACCATACAAGTGTATAATAAAGATATATGTGTGCAGCTTCGCAAGGTCCCTTCCCTGTTGGTGACCTCATACAAAAACGATATAGTACAGAAAATATGGGATACAGCTGTATATCTGAAAATTAATATAACAGACAATAGTGTTGAATCTGGTGCCCATACCCATTTAACTGAAACCAGAATAAAATGCTTAATTCCTGGTTCCAAACTTGTGTCTTCCTCCAGAAAACCAGCAATGGCTTCCAACCCTAGTTCTTATGCAAAGATGTAACATCTAGGGTGGCCCAGCTGTGCCTCTCTTCCCATTCTATATTTTCTAATTCCTAGAGGAGGGATTTGATATCTTTTATATAAGATCTTGCTCTCTGTGCAAATTGCTGTAAAAAAGAATCTACAAAAGCTTTAATAACTGTAAGACTGCAATAATAACAGAATTTTTTTTTTTTGCCAGACAACGTATTCATCATGTTACAACTTACATTGATGTATATGTGATTCCCTCTTTCTCTCCATCTTCTCTTCTGGTGTTCTGGATGCCGAACGCTGCCCTTCTGCCTCTTCTTATGATGGGGTGCTCACGCACTGGTGTCATGATGTAAATTACATGCATTAACTTCGTTCTCAATGCCACCTTCCATGGTGGTGTTGCTATGTCAAATCACTTCGATGCCAAAACCAATGTCTTACCCTATTGTGATTCCTTGATCCCTTTAGTGCGTTAGTGTTCTTTACTGTGATTTTTACCCAGCTATCCTTTGGACCATTCTGACCACTGTTAACCTTATCACTGCTTAGTTTTCTAATTGACTTACTTTCTGGAATCCCTTGATCTTGGCTAGTTATGCTATTACTCTGTCTTTCATGAAGGCTGGCCACCTCTAAGGACTGGTAACACTTTTTATCCTGTTATTTTCTGTGTTTCATACACTATTTGGTATACGGCTACCATGACATTGGGCCAGTGACGCAACTACATCACTGGTGCCGCCCAAGCAGACCGTCCATCCACAAAGCACAATTGCACGCTACACTACCTGACCAACATTCAGGTCAGCCCAATGAGGGCAGAAATGTAACAGTGCCAACAAGTTCCATAGCGCTGTACAATTGGTGGACTAACAGACAAGTATTTGTAACCAGACGAGTTGGACACACAGGAACAGAGGGATTGAGGTCCCTGCTCAATGAGCTTACATGCTAGAGGGAGTGGGA